TGAATCCAAATCCCGTCCATCAGTGAGTCCAGTCTGGGATTTTCCCAGTGCCTGCTGGTGACGTGATCATCATCCTGGAAGTTTGTTATGGTTTTGTATGTATTGTATATATTTCATTATTTTCATATTAATATTATAGGGGGTTTTATTATGAATATTTAATTAAAATAGTTTAGTTTCTTTTTCAAACCTTAAGATTTTTTTGCTCTCTATTCTCTCTTCTCTCCTCTGAAGGGAAATAGGTTAAAGAATAGAGAGAGCATCTGTCATTTGGTTATTGGCCAACCCAGCTCAAACCGCAACACTGCACAAGAGAAGGCACCAGGGAGACCTTACTGAGGCCTTTCAATCCTTAAAAGGGGATTAGAAGAAAGATGGGGACAGGCTTTTTACCAGGGCCAGTAGTGATAGAACAAGGTGCAACCATTTTGAACTAAGAAAGGGTATTTGTTATGGTTTTGTATGTATTGTATATATTTCATTATTTTCATATTAATATTATAGGGGGTTTTATTATGAATATTTAATTAAAATAGTTTAGTTTCTTTTTCAAACCTTAAGATTTTTTTGCTCTCTATTCTCTCTTCTCTCCTCTGAAGGGAAATAGGTTAAAGAATAGAGAGAGCATCTGTCATTTGGTTATTGGCCAACCCAGCTCAAACCGCAACACTGCACAAGAGAAGGCACCAGGGAGACCTTACTGAGGCCTTTCAATCCTTAAAAGGGGATTAGAAGAAAGATGGGGACAGGCTTTTTACCAGGGCCAGTAGTGATAGAACAAGGTGCAACCATTTTGAACTAAGAAAGGGTAGATTTAGATTAGATATTAAGAAGAAATTCTTTACTGTGAGGGTGGTGAGGCACTGGAACAGGTTGCCCAGAGAAGTTGTGGATGCCTCATCCCTGGAAGTGCTCAAGGCCAGGCTGGACGGGGCTTTGAGCAACCTGGTCTAGTGGAAGATGTTTCTGCAATCTTTAAAGGTCCCTTCCAACCCAAACCATTCTCTGATTCTGTGAAATAGACAAAATGTTCTTACAAAATTACAATAAAACATCAATTAATCTCTATTCAGGCACAAATCCATAGTACTATTGAAGGCCAAGTTTCCCCCGGGCAGGGTAACTTAGAAAACCATTGTCTTCTGATTTTAAAACTGTTCTTTAGAAGAAAAACTGTTCTTTCAATTGTCTGGACAGCATCGAGCATGCAAGTGCTATCACACCACAAAGTGATACAATCCACAAGCAAAATGACAAATTTAACCTAATCACTGTCAGGTACACCTTCAGGGCAGCCTTAGGACTATGTTTTCCTTTCAGATTGTGTTCCATTTTATATAAACTTCACCGTAAACAGGCATTAGACAAACTGTAAACTATGTAATCAGCCCCTCGATTATCACCCCAACCCACAGCTGGGGTTCCACGTTTTCGCCCAAAAGTCTCCTGTGGGCTCAGACTCACAGTAATCGGCCCCATTTCTAAGAGGTCCAACAGTCCATACCATTATCCTCAAGGTGCAGGGAGCCCTACACACTCTTAAGGCAGCCCAATTTTTCCTCGAGGCTGTTGTTAAGGAGAAGTAGTGATCTGCTTCTAGCTGAAGAAACATTTAATTGAATCTTTTATGAATTATGCAAGGAAGCCAACAATTTTCCACCCTGTAATTATTGTCATTTGTTCAGCTTACTCGCAGCTCTTTTGTAAAGTAGCAAGCTTCAGTTCCAGCTGTTTGTTGCACAGATGTACACTGGCAGGTGTCAAAAGCAAGGGAACTGAAGAAAGAAAAGGGCTACCTGGACCAAACAATTCAGAATAATTCTACTACCAGAAAATTACTACTCCATGGAGCAGTTTCCTTGGATTACAAAAATTAGAGACTTTAAAACTGTCTTTTTATTTATAAACCAAGGTGATCTTTGTGTTTATTATTTCATGTACGTTTTTTGTAGTTTTAAAACAACAAAGACCGGGTTTGTGCCTGAAGTAAGAACAATTCTATCACTGTCAAGTTAGAAGAAGTGAGTACAAACCAAGAAGGAAGTTGTTACTGATTGGGAGAGACCAAGTCACCAGCTGAGTAGTCTTACTCCAAGACTATAAAAAGCCTGAAAAGATGAAGAGCCAAGCACCTGGGCGGGAGTGAGAAAGTATCACTGCAGAAAATGTGAATATTATTACACTGAACCCCATGGTAATGTTCATTCCTCCACTAAGTGCAGCAAATACCCAGTTTAATCGCAATTAGAGACTAAATAAGGGTGGCCAAAAGCACACCCTTCTATCAGACTGTTTCAAAAGCATTGTATGAATTCAGACAAGACTGTGAGACTCAGAGAGAGAGCACAACTCTTATGAAGCTCTGCTATTTAAACAACATGGCCTATGAACTAGAAGAATATCCTTTCTTTGGGCTTCAACTATTAACAGCACAGATCAGTCAGACCTTAAAAGTTTAAGCACCTTACCCTGAAAGTAAATTTCAGTTGCTGGGAGACACATTAAAGCAAATAAAAAGATGACAATGTTGAGAACCAGCTTTAATAAAATGAAGAAAGGATGACAGCTTCCATCAAAATAGCATTTAGGCACCATCGGAAAACCCTTAACTTATCAAAACCTAATTTATCAAGTTAGCTTTGTTCTGCCTTACATCTGTTCCCTAAGTAACAGAAACATCCAAGGCAGCACATAAATCTATGACGGTGATGTATTAAAGAGGTAAGCTATAAGGAAGCTTACAGGAAAGCCATTTCACCAGCACAAGCACATCCACGTAAAACACTACACACTGAATCTGCAAAAAACTAAACTATATGAACAGTTTTTACTTCAGTACAAAGTATTCATCATGCCATCAGCACAAGAATTCAGATTTCAGACTTTTTTCTTAAAACCTCAAATGAGGTTTCTTGTTCAAAAAACCACTCAAACACTTGCCTCTGTGTCTTTTGGCACTTAAATGACCTGATTTTTGTGCTTCACACTTCTGAAAAATCAGGACACCTATTTGCACTCCTGAGTAAGAATACAGATGTTTGTTCCCTCACGTCCCTACAGACAGAGGCTCATGTGTAGCTCACAAGCACGAATGGGGACTGAGATCACAAGACTACTGTTAGTCCTGCTTGATTTTAGACAAGCCATTTTTCCGCCCAGAAGCGTTATTACCATGGCAATAAGTGGATTGCAAAAGTGGATTTATTATCAGACCCTTGATTATTCTGCAGATGTTTTAAATTTATTGCTACCCAGCTTGATGTTCCCTAATTTAACTGTTTTCAAAGTCTTTACAAACACAGTTTAGCAATTAGAATACAGCATATAATTACTCTTTTTAATAAAAATAGATATTAGAAGACAGCACACTTTATTAAATTGACTATGACTCAAAAGGAAAACACTTTTAATCAAAGGACTGAGATGTTCATTATGTAAATTAAACTATTCAAATATTGTAACAGGAGTACTTGTAAGATTTGTATCAAGTCTAACTTCTTCATCAAATACATTCTACCAGGCAACACGCCTCCTTAAGCATCCACTTAAAACTTAAGCACAAAACACACCACATATTTAAGTGTTTTGCAGCAATTTCTATCACACTGGTGTGTCATGCACAACAGCAAGCTCATAAAACAGAGCACTGATATGACAGTAACGTACCTGGAGCATGACACATTTCCTGCACAAACACAGTATTTCATTTTGTTATTTTTGCTGTAAGGTTGCAGAATACCCTAAACCCCACAAGGAACAATTATCTCTACTGACAGCACTGGTGCAACTTGGTTGCCTCATAACCTCAGCTACAGGACAAGGAAACAAAATACACAGCTGTCTCTTTCAAGAGTGAGGAAAGATGGGAGAAAATGTTATGACCAATTGCCACTGGCAGACAAGTACTGGTTTGGGTTTTTTTTTAACAAGTTTTCCATCCTCACCTTGGCAAATGCATCTTTCATGAACACTGAATCCATCTTAAATAGAAAGGGCTGGTGTTTGACTTGACTCTTTATCAACACATTTATACATATAAATCATTTTTATACATATAAAGCATCATACTTTTGAACATATTAACCAATTAGTTAAAATAGGATCTTCACACATCCACTTTCATGGCGAACTGAGGTGTTTCCTGAGGCAAGGAAATACATTTAATGTAAGTGCAGAAGTTTTTTAGTTGTGCTGGCTCTCCACAGCAACTACATGCTGAGCAACTGGGTTCCACCACAGTTCTCAACTGTCAGCCACGACAGAAGGAACTAGAGGAAAAGGTTACTTATTTTCTAGCTCCTGTTCCCAACTCCTGTATCTCAATACCTAGGTGAGAGAGGATAAACATGAGGAGGAAATTCTTTACTGTGAGAGTGGTTGAGCACTGGAACAGGCTGCCCAGAGAGGTGATGGAATCTCCTTCTCTGGAGACATTCAAGGGGTAATGGCTTCAGATTGGAAAAGGGTAGATTTAGATGAGATACCAGGAAGAAATTCTTTACTATGAGGGTAGTGAGGCACTGGAACAGGTTACCCAGAGAAGTTGTGGATTCCCCACCCCTGGAGTGTTAAAGACCAGGCTGGATGGGGCTTTGAGCAACCTGCTCTGGTGGGAGGTGTCCCTGCCCATGGCGGGGGGGCTGGAACAACATGATCTTTAAGGTCCATTCCAACCCAAACCATTCTATGATTCTGTGACTCTTTTCAGTGGTACCCAGTGACAGGACCAGAGGCAATGGGCACACACTGAAACACAGGAAGATCCCTCTGAACATCAGGAAACACTTTTGTACTGTGAGGATGAGGTTGCCTGAGGGGACTGTGGAGTCTCCCTCTTTGAGATACTCAAAAGCTCTCTGGACACAATCCTGGGCAACCAGCTCCAGGTGCCTGAGCACAGGGGCTCGACCAGATGACCTCCAGAGGCCCCTTCCAACCTCAACCATTAGCTGATTCTGTGATATGTTGAGATTTGCCTAAAAAGAGGAAAGACACTCCACCAGATTTCCCCTCTTTTTATTATTCTGATTTCTTCCAAAAATAGCATAGCAATGCACTTTCAAATGAAAATCGATACAAGAAATCTAACAAAACTAGCTTTGACACACACAAATTTCAATAAAACATTCCAGCATTTCCAAAGTGTCAGCATTTTTCAGCTAGTTTCAAAAGTACTAATTCTAACAGACAAGAAAGAGTTGTTTTCTTAGTTTCAGCAGCAGAACTGTGACTCTACCGCCTTGGTGAAGGTTATAGGTGTTCTTCTATACAGTAAAAAAAAATAAAATAAATCTGGAGTCATGGAGAAAAGGGTATGACCTAGTTACAGGGGGAAGGCAATACAACTACAAACTAAAATAACCCAAATGATTAACTCTGTAAAGAAATGTTCTTTCCTAGGTTTATTATAGCTTTTAAAAATACTCGTGTTCCATCAACATATCACTGTTTCATCTCTATGTAAACTATACTAGCCAACAGCTACTGTTAGCCCAAGAAGGGAGAGAAAAACAGGTACTTACACCCTCTCAGTAGTGAATGGCTACAAGCACAGGGAAAGCAGACCAACAGCATGTCAGAAATCCTTAAGCCAGCTCTAAGAGATAGGCAGCTAAGATGGTAGTTAGGCACAGTCCTGCCTATTAATATCATTAGATTCTACTCCCAAACAAAGTATTTGACTCTATAATTTGGGGATTGTTATCCACATGCATTGAGGTGTGTGTAATATCCACAGCCCTCCCTCCCAGAGTGAACTTTTAGTATCCTCAGGTGTTATGCAGGCTCCCCGTTGTTCCCCATCACCACCAACAGCTCATCCTTCTGCCGAGCCTATTTGGAATTTTATGAAACAAGAAACACATCCTAAGATCTGTCTAATAAGTTTCAGGAGACATTAAAACTAGCAAAAAGTCAGGAGAGTCTTTAATACAATAGAAAATGTTTAGTAATCTAAGTTCAGCAGCTGTTATTGATTATCACATAGTCATACTTGGAAAAACAACATAGACACTTAAAACTTTAGAAATTCACTTTCAGAGCAGTTTCGTACAGAACAAACTCGTTTAATGTTGAAAGCACCATGAAGTGACACTACATATCAGCAAGCACGAAAAACAGGAACATCATGGGACTTAACCACATAAACTATACCTTGAATACCCCTAAGGTAGATTTACACTGCAGGCTTGAGCACAGCACAGAGGTACTCAAACTGACTCAGGTATTATTTGCCACTCTGCATGCAATGTAGACATACCCTATATGTCTGAATATATCTTATTATGAATTAACTGAGCTCTGCAGCACAATATTTAGGCCCTCATTCTGCACCATCAAAGTCAACAGTGATTTTTCCATCCGTTTCAGAAAGTGCAGGGTCAGGCTTGTAATCACAAACATACTTCTACTAACAAAACATTTGTTCCTAACCTAACAGTTGTGTCAAGTTCAAACATGAGTTTTGAGAGCATGCAGATTGCTTACAAATCCTTAAAAAGACTGGTTCAGAATCTTTCTTATATATACACACACAAGTCCATCTGTCACAGACAGGCAATGTAACTCAGAATCATGAGCTTGCTCTTGTTTTCGGTAGTGTCCTGCACACTTCTGATAATTAAAAAATAAAAAATAAAAAAATAGTTGCCACAATGGATTTCTGACCATTCCAACTTGCACATGGATATGATCTCTTCTTGCTGCATCCAGCATGTGAAGTTTCACAGTTGCTTCTCAAATGCAAATACCAAGTAAATACCTAAAAAAAGAAAATTGAGTATTTAAAGTTTCAGCTTCCTCTGCCACTCAACTGAGTTTTCAAAACATAAACAGGTTGACACTCTGCCCAAGCAACCTGGTAGCAGGTTACTGAAATTATAAAAACTGCTACGGTTTCCCAAAGAGTAACCCTAGTATTCAACTCCAGCATGGTTTAGACATGTTTTCACAATAAAGCTGAGAATCCACAAAAATAAATTATTTTAAATACTGTTGATACAGTTAATGCAACATTAACTTCAGTTAATATTACTGAAACATGAATGCAATTCATAAATTACTATGCCATTCTACACATAATTGACATTCACTGGTGCGTAAAAAGTCATATGCAACTAAGTTTAAAGACTCTTTCATACACACACTAATGGATAATTAGGGGAGAAATGATCAAATTAATTTTTAATTAAAAAGTAAATAAAGTCATGATACAAATTATTAATTTTCTCTTTTAAAATACCACAGACAAAGAAGAAATATTTACAAACGCTAGATGGCATTTTCTCCAGAACAGTACCACTCCAGGAATGGATACTCACACAGCCCACACCAGCACCCTTGGGAAATACTGATCTGGCATACAACTGACATCAGCCATGCTTCATACCAGACAGGTAGGTTAAACAAGTTTCTCGAGACCATGACTAATTAAACATTTATGGATTTCCACTTGAACTCAGCTTTCATTTTAATGGATGAGGTGCCAGAGCTACATTGCAAATCTTTCAAGACAAGCCTCAAAGAGAAAGGACAGTGAAGTCCCATGTAACAAGAAAGCTGTGCTTATACTCTAACTATTAGAAGCTCTGCACTCCAAAACTCTCTGAAAAAAGAGACTACTTAGAAAATAGACTCATCACTGAAATTTTAAAGGTATAAAAAGCCCCTCTCAAGTAGATTAATAGTTTACATAAAACTTTTACATTGCTGGAATAATGTCTACCTTATGATTCATACCTTTAACAAACAGATAACAATTTGAGACAGCAAACACCTTTAAGATCTTTTTCATTCATGAATTGAACAGCATTTTTTGTTTGTTTTTAAACCACTAACATAATAACAACCTGCAAAAATGCAAGTGCTGGTTGCCTGCAGTTACACAAGTCAGCAATAATCTCTCTGGGAGTCAATTCTTATCCTTAGAATTCTCAGTCCCTTATATCTGAGTTTTATTAAACTCAACATTGGAACAAAAGGATGTCAGAAGTTTTCCATAGCACATGCCCACAAAATTTCAAAATATATTTAACAGTAGTGTATCCTTTTCAGTGTCTGAGGCACCAACTTTTTTTTTCCTCCCTTTATAAAACAAATCTCTCTTCACCATTCATGCTTTAATTGCTTCTTCCTGAAACACATATCACTACAGGCAAAGAGTAAAGTTTTGGTCCCTCCCTTCCCAAAACAGATTTGTATTATTTTTCATGAAAGTATGTCCCAGCTGGAGTTTGGTTTCTAGCTGACTGCTAACAGTATAATATGAAAGTGTACCAAACAGAAGTACAGTATTTAATCCTCTTAACACTAGCAAAATAATCCTTTAACACTGGTATCCTCTTTTCATACATCCTAAGTAAGGCTTCCCCAGACTACTTTAACCCAAAAGTTTGCATGCCAGAAGCTACTTAAATAAAGCAAAATTTCAACCTATTTTATGCATTTCCCTCCCAATTTCTTGAGATATGTGCAGTACATAATTTGAATAACAGGAATTTAAATAACACAAATAATAATATATATAATAATATATTTAACATCTGGATTTTCTTCCATAACCAACAGGCTATTTTACACACTTTCCATAGCAGTCATTCGGTCAATACTGAGTTTTCAAAACAATACCTACTTGTTGCTTCCCATTCAGATTTACTCAAGGTTCCCTAGAAGAGGACAGAAAAAAAAAAATTAAAAATCCATTTTCAACAAGAAATGAGGAAGTGATAAAACACCAGTTTAACTCAGGATTGTCAATCTTTCACAGAGCCACTTCTAACCACCCCCACTGGCTGGGCTACGTAGGGGTGAGAAGAGCACAGGTACTTATAACTCCAATAACTAGGATGATAGGGTATTGAAACATCCTGATAATGGCATGCACCTGAATGATACAGGTATAGGAGAACAGGCCAACAGTCTGTTGGACTGAATGACCCAGCAACACAGAGGCACGCTGGGTCCTGTTACCACACAACAGTGTGACCTGACCTCACTCAAGCTGCTCTCCAGCCCCAGATGCCCAACACTTGTGCAGAAGTCCAGAAGAGACTCTGTATCAGGTGCTGCCACCTTCCCCAGGAACACTACTTGCCTCCACCTCCCTCCCTTTGTAACCCCTTATAAAAACATGAGAAAGACAGCAAGCTCAGAAAACCGGCACATGCATTAGAAGACAGGACTAGACGCACAAAAATATTATTTAATTGGACCACTGATCTAATATGACCTCCATTAAAGATGGTTCGTTATTCTTTTATTTCTGAAGTCATAAATCAAGCTGCAAAACAGGAGAAATGCAGAAAAATATATGCCAGGACAGCAAACTAAGTTTTGTATGAGGTAAAATTATGATCATCACAAAGAAAGTTTCTTTTCATTCCAGAATGTGAACAGAATACAGTATTTAATAAAATTGAAGTCAGAAATAGATGGATTTAGTTTTATGCATGAAGGACTAGTCTAATTCTAGAAGCTCTATTAAAAACTAAAAATAAGAGGCACAGCAGGTTTAAAAAAAATAGCATTTAAAGAACTTTAATAACATCACCCAGGAAGGGAGCTGGATCTTCTTCACCCAAAAAGACAATAGAAGAACAATGTTCAAGATTTCAAATACATACAAATATTACGAAGAAACTTTTCAACTCATCTGTCAGAAGACTAAAAGAAGAAAACTAAAGCTTTAAATTGGTAGTGTGAAGATCTAGAAACATAAGAAAATTCTTCACATTAAGAAAAGCTATGTTAATTCCCAGAAAATCTGCCAAGGAAGATGGCAAAATAGCCTTTCCCTTTTGCACTGTTACAAATTCCTTAAAAGCTACCAAATTAAGTCGACTTGATTCTTTGAGGATGGGGTATAGATTAGACGAACTCCTCAGCCTTGCAGGTCGACAATTTTTCACACGCACAAAGACATTCATACCAATTTCATTGCAGTTGAAATGAAGAAAGTCCGAAAGATCAGGACCTCAATTTGAGACATCATTTGCTCTAGTGAAGCAAGAAGGAACTTACCAATGGTAACTTTGCTTTGCCATCTTTGATGAACTCTTTTGCATGTTCATAATCATCAGGTTTATCAGAAACAAGCCTGGAATCACCAAATGTAGAATATGGCTGGAGAACACAAAAATTAAGAAAAAAATATTAACTGCCTAATAGGATAGATTAATCACATCAGTCAACGGTTTGTCACAATATAGCCCAGAAGGGAGGTCAGTAATTATTAAGAGGATCTTAAAATAAATCTCCCCGTTATAGCACCTACAAGATCAGGTCTGATACTCCTTAATTCCCAGAAAATCTGACACCCAGGATTTATAAATAAACTTTTATCCTTATGTCTCCAAAACAGGAGAACAGTACTAAGAAATAAGCAACTGTAAGATTTCAAGCAGAATGCTTACAATGCTTTATTAACACACAGGAGTTGTAACAGAAATATACAACTGTTCTTCAAAACTAATCTATACTTATAAAGGATCCCAGTTACTGCATAACGCTCTGTACTTAACAATGCAGCCCTCAATTGTAAGTGACCCCTAATTTAAGCGAACTCTCACTTTTCTAAGAACAAAGCTGATATGTCAAAGGCTGTGTCACCATGCCTTTAGCAATACAAGCCCACACAAAGCACTGTCCCCTTCAGAGTCAACAAGGGACAGTTAAGTCCACTTGCAGCCCATCTGACTCAGTTTAATAAGCCACCAGATACTTGACTGGATAGTTTTATGCTGAAAAATTCTACGGTGCAAAGGAGGAGGGAACCACAGAGAACTGTGAGCAAAACCAAAGCCTCAGAGATGGCACTGGAAAGCTTCTCTGAAGGTGTCAAAGTCATCCAGCATTAAGAGCTTGAGGGAAAAAAAACTTAAAATAAAAATTGGGCAAAAACATAAGCTCAGCTAGAGTTAAGTACCATTTTTTCTACAAACACAGACTGTCCTTTTATTCCTACAAAGATTACTTTCTGTCTTTTCAATCGATATTCAGAGATTGAGCCTGTGAACAAACAGTGGATGGGGCAAAGGAGTCTTTAGATTTGTCTGTTTTTTTCTCCCCATAATAAATTAAATTAATCTTCTCCAAGTTTAGTCTGTTTTGCCCATGGTGGTCATTGCTAAGCCATCTCCTTGTCTTTATCTTAATCCACAAGTGTTTTTTTCTCTCCCATCCTGTTGGGAAGAGGGAGGAGGAAAGCAGATTGGTGGTGTCTGGCAGCTAGTCAAGGTCAACCCACTACAGTCACACTTGCAGCCACGGGAGTTTAGTTCTTCTACTGGTAGCCCTTAATTAATTGCACAGTGTTCGCAACAGGAATTTCAATTATTGCATAAATAATTAACAAGATGTAAAATGCTATTTAAATTAAACAAGTTAACTCCATATTTACCTCCAAGGCCTGCATTCTCCTTAACAGCATTTTGTGCTCCTCGTTCTTGATTTTTTCTTCATAGAATTCCCGAAATGTCATTTTGTAGACTAATTTCATACCATGCTTCTTTGCCATTCTGTCAAAATAATAAGCTTAATTAGGGAAGCCAAAAAATTGTAGATGTATTTTCAAAGGAACAATTCTAAGCCACAGTGACATCTTATGGTATTCACTAGGATTACACTCTTTCTGGAATTAGGTTTTTGTAGTAAACACTTAGATGGAAAAAAAAAAGGCACTAACACCACAAACTGTTTTTTTTTTAATTAGGACAACAAAAATCTACACAGAAGTAATTTACAAACACTTTAATAGAAATATGTCTCTTTTCCCAACACATAGAAGTAAGTTCAATTTGAACTTCCAACGAGACTATGCTATTTTCTCTGCAGTATTATCACCCTGTCACGTCAGATATTATGGATATATTTAGAGAACCAGTTTCTACCAGATTTAGTGCCTTACACCTCAATTATATGTAGATATTGTGGTCATGCAACACTGAAGTTACAGGTATCAGTGACAGATGCTGATATTTTTCATAAAGAACTACAAATGAAGTGAGGGAAAATATACAGGTTTGAAAGGAAAGCTTAATACTCTAACAACTACACTGAGCTTGAATGGCGGGAAAAATCCCAAATGTCTGTACCTCAGGAGACAGGCTGGGAAAGGCAAAATCTAAATTCACACAGAGGTAACAGCAAAACATGCTCACAGATTAAGAAGATTTAGAGGAAGAAAAAATAAGTTGTAGGAAAAATCCTACAAACATCAAAAAAGTTGGAGAAGACCAACAAAGAGGCACCATGGTGAAGAGGATATACAAGAAGGCTTGCTGAAGGACTAAAGAAAGGTAGAATGAAATCCCCCAAAAAGTTAAGATTAAAGAAGAAAAAGTTGACAGCACTGAAGGCTTGCTGACAGATCCAATTAACAGATACAGACATTCTTGCATGAGACCTAGTTTAAGTCTTCACAGATTCTGACCAGAGCACTTTCAATTGAGTGCAATGGACAGATTACAGTCATGGATGCAAATGCAAGAACCCTCTTAATTTCGAGCAACAAAAAAAAAATGAAGAACTGTAAAATGTAATAAGAAAGGCAAAATACAATTTTCTGAAGCTATTATGCAATGACAGAAGAGCTAAACAAATGCTTATTGTTTCACAGCTTTCATTGTATAATGAATAACTTACTCTTCCAGTAATGGAAAGTAAACCAAGAACTCAGGGACATCAACCACTTCTTCCAAGTGGAAATCGTACTTGCAGCCAAACAAGGGATATTCCCCCTTCTTTTCAAATTTTACACTGTACACATCATTCCCAAATGAATTTGTTTCTGAAGCTTCAAGTCGCTTTCTATAGAATGAGATAAAAACAAAACAGTTTTTAATTTAACAGGCAGATAAAACTACATATAAGAGGCATAAAAGTGTTTCTCCCAGTACTACAGCATTCAGTGATCTCTGTAGTTTCCCCTCTCCCTTATCTAATAAGGCAATGAAACAATGAAATTGAAGAGAAGCAGAATACTAGGTTGTAACAGTTTAACATTCCTATATAACATACCAAGGACTAAATGGACCTAGAAAATTAACCTTTAGCCCAGACAAAGTCTACACGGACAAGTCTGGCTTCTTGGAAGCACCACAGCAAAACTCTGACAGTTATTCTCCAGGCTGTGGCTATTTTGCCAGTATTTAAATCACTACAGAGGATTTATGTATGAAGAGCTATTCTCTATACCAGAAGAGCCATGGTGCAAGCAACAAGGACTAGTACAGATTTACCTGTTTGAGTCAAAGTCATGAATGAGATTTTCCTGACCAGAATTCAAAATTGTTGAAAAAAAACTTGCTTTCATTTGCACAACCACATCAGAGCACTGTAAGAACTACTATCACTTAACAACGCTTCACTGACTTTTGAAAGACTAACAGAATATAAAAGTACTTACACAAGTTCAAAGCTATTTGGAGTTGTGCCAATGAAATACCCTCCAGGAGAGAGGTTCCCACAGGCATTTTTAAGCATCATGTCAGCCTGCTCGTATGTCTCGAATGAGTAATGGTAAACAAACTGACAGCTGCAAATGTCAAAGCGCATATCTGGATCGCTGTATTTGGAAGACAAGAGATCCTGAAATAGATTTAAAAGAAAATAAGAATTTAATAAAAGCTACAGAAACAAGCATGGTTCACTTAAATCTTCCAACAAATACACTACTCCCATAGTGCTTTGATGTTTTCCCTTTCAGCCCCTGTTTCTTTACAACTTCAATGAGAACAAGATGAAAAAGGTAAGAAGTAAAAGGCAAAAAGTCCTCTGCTACAGAGAAAACCATACACAACATTTAGGAACAACAAGAATGGACATGCACGTTTCAAAGTTATCATGTCCTCAAATTCTTTTCATGTTGCCAAGTAACACCACTACACCTGAAAGGGCAAAACCCAAGGTTAGGTACCTAAGAGTTTCCAGAGATATTTTAACTGCTGAGGGTTTACCCTGACTGTAATTTTGAGCTGAGAGAGATGACCTGGAACCTGCAACAGACTATACCACAGAAGAAGGAAAGGCAACCAAGAATTCAAGCCAGCAACACCCCCTGCAAGGCTGGGAAGAATGGTTTCAGCCTTTCCACAGATATGCTGGAACCAGGTAGGCTCTGTCCCCCAGCCTGCATCAGCAGGGCACTCTCAGCACACATTTCCAAGAAGGAAAAGCAATGCTGGTTACAAGATTGTCTTCATAAGGCTCAGCAATGTATTCAGTATCACTTTCAGACAGTCTAAGAAATCTGCTCTATCACACTAGCTTTGAATATATTTATTATAGTAACTAAAATGCTGCTAGAAAAAAAAATTCCGGGATAAGCAAAATGTAAAAGTCAAATCAGAAAACAACCCTTATTCATTCCAGCATAAAACACACATTCAACAAGCTGGTTTCTAACATCTCATGCTTGGCGCCCAGAACTCCAGAAATAAGTAGTCGTTCCCTTCCCCTTGGCAAGTTAAAGAAACTGAAAGCACAAGATTTATTACCTGAAGAAGACATTCAGGCTTCAAGAATATTACACTGTAAAACAGTAACAGAACGCATTTATCTATGTCTCAGTAACCTGGGTGGTTTATTCTCTTGAAAGTATAACAATCTGTTCTCAAGAATATACACGCCCTAAATATTACAGCACCAGCATCACTTCCTATACTTGCATAACACGAGAATATTAAATTTCCAAAATACTACGAAGCACAGGAACTGTACCTTGGTACTATCTGCTTGTATAAATTCTGCATCAAAAATATGTTCATTATAACGACATCGAGCTTTCATGTCTTCATATCGCTGCTTGCACTGTTGCACTGAAATGTCAGCAATATCTATATAGAGAGAGAAATTAAAAAAAAAGTGTGTAAACTGCTCCACAGAAAACCAGATTGATTACTGGAACACAGCAGACTCATTACGGCACAGATAGAAGTTGATCTTCAGTTACGCTTTGATGGGAAAAACAAATTACAAAAATTTGTAGGAAAGAAATTTAATTTACAGGAGGTGTTTGGGATTATAACCCTCTGTCATTTTCAGTCTTTACTTCAGGCAAAAGTTTCTAAAATCTGAAGATTTCAGACAACTCCCATACCCAAAACTGCAAAGCAAGCCTCCAAAATTTCAAGTGATGGATACCAAGTGATTGATACGAAGTGCTGTTAGCAATGCCTAGTATGCATTAGCTGAAACAGTTCAGCTCCCAGAGTTTTCTCCAACAGTACTGAAAGCTCTTCGTCTTACAAATACACAAGATGTTGAAATGCAATTATTTGTGATATATGCTGATATGTTGCATCGTGGGATTTTTTTATTTTAAGACTGTTCCTCTCTCAGACATAATTTCACTGAACATTAAAACTAACAATATACAATGAATTTACATAAGAATTCTGTAAGCAAATTCATTTACTGTATTTGAAGACTGCCAACTGAAAAAGAAAGACAAGAAAGAACTGTAAAATGTAGAATACCCAGAACAATTCCCACTAAAGGAATTTTATGAAATTTTAGTATCTCTTAAATTTGAAGTTAAGCAATGTTTCCCCTTATCATCCTTGGCACACTTCTTGGGAGAAGGGAAGATGGTATCTCCTTCCCAACATCTAAGCAAACTATTTAAATTAAAAAGTATTTAAATCAGTCCATTTTTTGCCAATCACTGTGGGGTTTGTTTGATTATTTTTTTTTAAATATAACTCCTACATGTGTATTTTCAGAACAATTAAAGACACAAAAGATTAGATGTGGGGGAAAATACATGAAATACAAAATGTCCATCTTTTTCCCAGCATCACACTTTTCCTAAGACAATCAGTGATAACTGTGCGTTTCTTTACTGATTATAGTTTTTATTTATGAGTTGAATTGAAAGCTTGTTACACAGGAAGTCAATGGTTCTTATTTATTATGCAACAAGTTGATATCTTCAGGTTAAAAGACAAAAGACAACTTTTTGACAGAAGGCGTATCGTTGCATCCTTGGGCTTAATGTAGAAGGAAATAATAAAAGACTGGAGAAAGTTACTGTGTCTTCTTACCAGTACAGACAAGTTTTTTAATTCTGCCTTTTTTCCATTTCAGCAAATCTCCACCTTTGCCACATCCTAGATCCAAAACAGTTATATCACTCTTTTTCCGTCGTACTCGGTCTATAAATTCACCTAGAAAAATAAAAAGAGAGAATGCATATACAGGTCTCCCTAATTCACTTGTATTGTACACAGGTCCCTAAAGGACCAAAAGGGTTTGAGAATTTTAGAAGATTTCAGAACAGACTTTGCCTGTAAGTCTTCTTAACATTACAGACTTCAATCTCTTTTTCTAGAAACCACTAATGATGAAAGCAACCGCAAACTTTTAACATTATGGAGCAGATAATGATTATTTTCTGTGCCTAATGACTGGAGCTCTGAATTGTTTCCTGGCAGACAAAGGCAAAACTGCACATCGCTAAACAACCACCCCAGCCTGAGTGGGGAAACAGGATTCCCTTTCATTACCATTACAATTAAGCCAGATGTTATTTCAAAGTATGGGAAAGCCTTTTGCAAAAGAATAAAAGCCAATTAAAGGCATCAGCCACAACTTTTCATTGTGGCTACATTACAAAAATGCTTAATGTTCTCCCATCACTCTCCAAGGACTTGCGATAACATTAGCTACTTGTTTGCTGTCTTTTTACCCTACACACAATTTCATTTTCTCATCTACATCCACTCTGTCTAGATTCTCTCTGCTCTGACTGATGTTGGCATATTATGCAAAACATATCAGCATGCTAGCAACTTTTGGTCACAGTAAGAGACACAAAATATGTTTGGATACAACTGCTTTAACACCACACTACTGAAACTCATCAGGACTGAGAGGCTTCAACACAGGCTCCAGGAACGGCTTTATATAAACTGAAATATTGATTCTAGCTTCTCTGATAAAACACAACAAAAAGCCGCATGCTAAAATAAATGGTGCCAACACCTCCTGGCATGGATCCCTCTCATGAATCTGCCAGCAAATCTTTGGAGATATCCAATGGTTTTGTTTCCTCGCTTTGGAATTAAGTTGTGGGATAGCAGACTTGGCCTTTTATAAAAAAGCTGCTGATTCTTCAAGAGCTACATCCTCTAGTTTTTCATGTTTTTAAATCACTGACTATGGGTAACAGAAAATATTTATGTTTTCAAGTTTCCTACAGAAATGCTTAATCTACACCTGAGGACCAACTACTTGAGAAAATAGCTATGAAAATATTTGAGATATATTTAAACAACCCAGGCAGTTCAATCTAACATGAACAGACAGAAATTTATGATTTAAAGCTGTAACTTTTTCTTTAAAAATGTCATGAAGAACAGTTTCTACTGTGAACTTTTTATATTTCTTAGGTCAGTTATCTTTAAAACTTTAGCATTTATTTGGCACTCCAACAACATAAACCACAATCATAAAGATTAAAAATAAAAATATTTTATTGCACTTGAAAAAACTTACTATGTATTAAGAGACAAAGTGCCATAACCAACATTAGAAAGCAGAAAAAAAATGTTAGATTTTGATACAAAAATTAGTTACATTTTATTAAAGTCTAAGTAATCAATTAAGGACCCTTACCAATGAGGACACTCTTTGTCCAATTATTAAAGTTTCGGAGGTAGAATATGCGAGACTGGCTACGTTTTTCCAATCCAACTTCTTGAAGTTCATTATAATGTGCAGCTACAGTTTGTCCGTGGCCTGTCTCACGCTGTAGAAATGAAGGAAGGAATAGACTCAAACAGTGCGTTCTTTTTATTACTTTTTTATTTAATCAAAAGATCTGACTTGAAGCATTTAAGAAAGTAAGCAAGTAATACTGTGAAGAGCACCATCATTTTATATATATATATAAAAAACACTTCCCATATCCATCCTTCTACTGATATCAGTACTTCAATTATCACAGAGACAACTCCCTTAAAAATCTAATCCCCTTTTCAGTTGGTCCAAGTAGTTTCTGACGGATGATACCCAGCATCTTTCCTCCCCAGAAATACTTACCTTTCAGTTCTCTAATACTCTCACTACTCTCAAAGAATCAGTTTAATTCCCCTTAAGGCTGGGATTGAAGAAGAGGATGTTCCTTCTTGAGGAACTTTAAGCTTCTTCAAAAACCCTGTTTCAGAAATTCAGTGTTTACACCTAACAAAAGTGTGCAAGCTGCCAATTTAACCAAAATGCCACCTAGCTGATGTTGCATAAAGCCCTAAGTGGATAATTCCACCAGCACAGCTTTAAACAGACCATGGTAAGAGAATGAGCATAATGACTTGACAACACATCCCATTTAATGCTTAACAGTTAGCTGTAGAAATGTCTCTGTTTTAACCTAAACTGCAAATCCTCCAAGAGATTTTTGTCTCCTGTGACACAAAGAAGCAGTCTACATCCAGATATTATGTTCCTAACATTTCTTTACCTTGAAAATAATCTTCAATTATATACATGAAGTTAAAATAAATTATAAATAAAATACAAAGTAACAGAACACGGAGAAGCAACGGAAATTGTGCGAGGCACAGAACTGTTTGAAATAAAGTAGAAACTAAAATGAAGGATTCTCAGTTAAAACCCACAGACACACTACAAAGCCCCGTCCACTATGAATTCACACAGCAATTAAAAGCATTCCCAACAGCTGACTACAAGTCAACATCCCAATATCTTATTATTCAAATAGCAGTTCCTCAAGGGAAAAGGAGGTTTGACTGATTTCAACATACCACATTAATTCTGCAGTGCCTCATATAATTTTGTTAAACTTCACAATAAACACAGACATACTTGTTTGGAATCTCTGTGACCTCATCATCTGTTTATTACCACACTAGGCTTGCTGATACTAACAAATATTTTGACCGTTTCTAGTCTTTTTTAGGGTAAGCACAGATGGCTCCCTGAATGGCCGCTGAAGGTGACGTAAGCTAGAATGGCTGACTCTGACAAGTGCGGGGGACATACTCAGACAATCCATTAAGGCATCTCAGCTGCTGCAAGCACAGCTGCAAAGAGCCATCAGCAATAACATCTAGATGCTGGCAGCTGCATTCAATGCAATCACCCTTAAGCTACACGAAAACAATGTCTTTCTTGTCCATCTAAACCTTATCCCAGAACTACCTAATTAAAAAGATGAAAGGGTTAATGATGTTTCTACCACAAAGAGCACCTTTTCTTTTAACCCAATCGCTTAGGCATAAATTAACCTCCTGGAAAAATTCTGAACAGAGAAACAAAACATTAGGTCAAAGACATTTTCAAATTATACTTAAATATCCCAAAAGGTCAAAATTAGACCGGATATTATAGCATCAGTTTCTACAAGCACATACACAATAAAGGACAGCATCATATCAACCATTACCCTTTTCACCTTTCTAGTTAAAAGGACAAATATTTTCTGCTAATCTCCCAGTCTTAAAAAAAAAAAAAGCATCTGTAAACCTTTCAGTGCTTCATTCCCCTAACAGATCATCACAGAGGGCACAGTTTGTAGAACTTTCTAACTTATACAATAACTTACTGAGGAAATTAAAGGACAAAACTGTGTTATGGAAGAACCTCCCATGAATAGATAACTATACTAACACACAGGACATCAACATACAAAACATAGCAATTACAGACACACAACTTGGACTAATGCCAGTAAACCCTGCACTACACTACCAGCCTGCGCCCACAGACAATGGAATGATAATCTCAGACTAAGCATGAGCTGACATCAGTTTTCGTAACATTCTAATTACTAGCCCTCTTCTTCTTCTGTTAAGCTCAACATAACTTCTGCACCTGTTATTTTGCTAGGAAGCTACCCTCAAACATTGACATTTGGTGGTTCACGCTGGTTCACCTATGTTTAGCATAAATATTTCTAATTTTTTCTTGAGCTACAGCTTGAAACAAAGATTTCAACACAGCTCAAAATAAATGATACTCACCACTTTCTTAGGAGGTTCATCTTCAGCATCTAAATTCTTCCTTTTTGCTCTGTTGTCCTGATTACCACTGTCAACTTCTTTTTCATTTTCAGTGGAGTGCACCGTACCTGAAGTTGAACTATCACCTTCGCAACCTATACCTGAATCCGCCTCTAAAGTATGAGGTGTTTCCTCCACTTCTTCATCCAAACTCTTCTCTACTTGCTGTTCTTCTGCCTTGGTTAAATCAGCCATTTTTGACAAGTTAGTCTTCTTGTCCTTTGATCAGAATGGAAACCTACAAAGGGGAAGAAAAACCAAACCCACACCATTTACTGTGTAATTTCACTTGTAGTTACGGTCATGATTTTCAATCATAATACTGGCATTATAAAAAAAACCAACATGCATTTGCTCTAGGCAATACATAGACTTAAAATTTGACTAGTTATTTAATAAAAATAGCATAATAAAATATATGGCATTTCAAAGTACTCTCATTATAACAAGAACAAATTACAATAAATCTTTACCCTTCATGTTTGAGTCTTCCTTAGCTATCTTTACTGATTCAGCTGCAATGTGTTGCTGCTTGTGGGCCTGGAATCTCCCTTTTCCCCTCCCCACAATAAATAACCTACAAATCGCTTTATCTTTAGAAACACAAGCTGAGGGAGTGCCTCAAATTAGTAAATTTATTATTTAATCTATTTTCAAATGGATGTCCTCGAAGAAAAAAAAAACCAAGGTGCTTTTTAAGAGCAACCTTCCTATCAGTTGTCCATTTTTGAGTTTGCCAAAACTATCTACTATGCCTCAAACATCATGGATACTAGGAATCTTCAGATGCAACTGTTTCTGTATCTCCACTTGAAAGCTATCTATGCAGTGCACAGGACTGCAAATCGCCGCTGCAAAGCTCATGTAGCCTTCAGCACATCCCAACCTCCTTCACACCATCATCAGGAAGCAACTACTGGGCAACTACTTTTCAGTAAGGCATTAGAGAGGACAATTCAGAAGGTCCCTTTCTTCAGCAGTGGCCTATTTCAGTCTAACAAAAAACACAGAGACTTTATTACATTTAGGTATAAGTGTCCTAACGAGGGCCAAAACACAATGGTTAAGCGAACGGCTACAACAGAGACCCCAGAAGAGCTTTCCTCAACAGACGGCCTCCAAGTACGACTTATAGCAACGATTTTTTCCAAGCCAGTACAGCATCCAACTCACGCTTCCGAAGAAGCGCCCTTTCTTATCTTTCCCCCGCCGGCCCCAAGCAGCGTCACCTCCCGCTTTTCAGACCGAAATTTAGAAAGGATCGGAACTTCGGAACCAGCGAGGGCAACCGACGGGGAAGCTCCGTGGGAAGAAAAGCCGGGGGAGTTCAAAACTCCCGGGGGACGGGACGGGGCCGCGCTCGTGGGGCAGGATGCGCAAAGAAGTGAGGGGCGCCGCAGCGCCACCCGCCAGCGCTCCCCCATCCCCGTTACCGGTCCGGGCCCTGAAGACTTGTAGGTTGGTCACGGGGGGCTGCGCAGAAGGAGGCAGGCAGGGACGGGAACTCCCTCACCCCTTCCCCCCGGCGGGGCAGGCCGGGGTGCCTTCCGAAGGCGCCAGGAGCCCGCCGGGCCCGGCCCACCGCGACAACAGACAAAACGCGCGCGCCGCCTGCCCGCCACCCCAAGAGCCCCGGCGCGGCCCGCAGCCCATTGGCGACGGCCGGTGGCGCGGCCACGGCTGCTCC